TTTAAGAAATTCAGGCATCTAAGAACATGCCTGGGCCATAGCTTTCCAGGAGCAGTTGACAGGGAAGTGACAATGAGATGTGGCCAGTCAGCCATGAAGGAAGTCACAAACTTAGGGGGATGGTTCAGGGCCTGGTTCTTAAGTGTGTTGTTTCCTTCTTGATGTCAGGCACAGCGAGAGAGGCGGTGTGGCCATGTGGGAGTCTCCCGCTTGCCCAGATCTCTCACTGGGCCAGCTGCACACAGGGGCAGAGCAAGCCCAAGCCCAAGGCAGGCCTTGTCATTCATGTCCTCAGTGAGCATGCCCCAGTTGTCACAGGGCTGGGTAGACGGAAGCGATCACCACACCGCAGGAATGAAGTTGCTTCTGTCCATGCGGTCTGTGAGATTTCCTTCTAAAGGAAAGTGAGAGATTCCTGTGTACTCCAAAAGTCACTTCTCAGCCACACCAGCCCCGTGTCCCCTCTAAGGAGGGTTGGTTTGTGTGGTGCAGAGGGTGGTTTGGTTCCGGATGCCTGCATCGAGGCCTGCTCATGACAGCTGGGAGGGCTCCTATCCCATTCTGGAAATGCCGCCAAGGGCAGGGCTGGCACAGCAATTGCGACACCTCCCAGGATGCCTGCTGCCATACTGGGGAGCCTGGTTTGACTGCTGCTCCTCCGTGTCCTATCCAGCTTCCTGACAGTGCACCCTGGGAGGCAGAGCTGATGGCTCAAGCCCTTGCATCCCTCCCACTTATGTGGGAGACCAGAATGAGTTTCAGGCTCCTGGCTGTGGCTTGGCCTGGCCCTGGGGCATTTGGAGAATAAACCAGTGGATGGAAGAGTACTCTCGCTCTCTTGCTCTGTCTCTCTCTCTCAAATAGAATGGAAATACTTGTGTGTTTTTTTTTTTTAAGATTTATTTATTTATTTGAAAGGTAGAGTTACAGAGAGGTAGAGCCAGAGAGAGAGAGAGAGAGAGAGAGAGAGAGAGGTCTTCCATCTGCTGGTTCACTCCCCAAATGGCTGCAACGGCTGGAGCTGCGCTGATCCAAAGCCAGGAGCCAGGAGCTTTCTCCGGGTCTCCCACGTGGGTGCAGGAGCACAAGGACTTGAGCTATCTTCCACTGCTTTCCCAGGTCATAGCAGAGATGGCTGGAAAGGAAATGGAACAGCCGGGACTCGAACCAGTACCTATGTGGGATGCCAGCACTGCAGGTGGTGGCTTTACCCGCTATGCCACAGTGCCAGCCCCTGGAAATACTTTTTAAAAAAACTTATATGCTTTTAAAAATAAAAAACAAAATAAATAAAAATGTAGCAGTGCAGCAGACTGAGCCCTTCCATTCAGCAGCCTGTTGTATACGGTGACGGAGCAGAGTCTCGAAAGTCTGTGTCCTGTGCTGTTGGCCATAAGGGCCTCAAGCAGACACTGACCTGGACAGAGACAGGATCTCACCATGCGTTACAGCCACAGGGAGTGCCTCACGATCACTGGTGGGCCCTGAAAGATACAGATACTCGAGCCTCAATACTATACCCCAGAGAGTCCGACTGTGGTCCTGGTGTGGACTTTGCACCTTTGTTTATTTGAAAATCTCACCAGTTGCTGTCCAGCCCCAGCTGAGAAAGTTAATGCAGAGGCTTGTGCCAAACAGCAGGATGGCAGGCGAGCTGACACCCGCTCCATTCCTCTACCAGGCCTGTGTGTGATCAGAGGTCTCCACAGACAGATTCCCTGCTCACTATTATCCTCCAGGAACTTGTGATTATCCTCTGTCTAAGTCAAAAGCAGCTTAATTCCTCTAAAAACAGTGCCAGTTGGGCATTTTGCCTAGAAAGAGACGCAAATCTGTGTCAGCGTTCTCACTCGGTTCAGCCTCCATGGGGCACCCTCTCCGGACTGCCTCCCCCTTTCTCTTCCTTCCACCAAGCCCACTGCTTTGTTTGGTGCTGGCTGTTCAAGTCAGGTCATTGCAGCAGGCGTGGGTGTAGTGGGCCAGATGAAGTATGGTCGACAAGAAGGTCTTGGGTGAGCTAAGACAGGTGGATGTCAGCTGTAAGGTCAGAGAGCAGATGGGCCAGGAGCCCGGGCAGCAGGCTGAGGGTGAAGACCACACCTGCACAAAACCCCAGGCCTGCAGAGCCCTGCAGTCACGGCCAACAGAGGCCTCACTGACACCCAGAACGAGCTGGGATGGGTGAAGCCGCCTGGCTTAGAGGAAGCCGAGTTCAACCTCCGAAATCCTGCTTTGCCATTCAGTGCCCTGGGTTGTAAAGAGTCATCCTCTTGCCAGTCCCTTCTCCTTTGTCAGACATGTGATGTCAGACACGGCACCTGCAGCGTCAGCTCTGTCTGCTCATCCAAACTGGTTCCCTCTTAGGCCTCGCTGACCTTCTGGGGCTCTCTCCCAGCCAAGTGCTGATGGGAGTGCTGTGCTGACGCCGGCCCTCCTGGCTTCTCTGGGACCAGTGTAGGAGGGGAGCGATGGGTGTTGACGACACCGTGAGAGAGCAAGGCAGAGTGGCTCCTCTGCCCTTGCAAGGCTCGCGCTCTGCAGGAAGAAGCCGACGCTCTCACACTCTGTGTGGCCAGGGGAGGTTCAAAGGCCTGACCTTGGGGAGCATCAGGGAAGCCGTCCGAGGAGTTCTCTGTAAGCTGTGGTCGGGATGAGCAAGGCAAGGAAGGAAAGACCCAGAGCTGAGAGGAGGTGCAGTGTGTTGGAGAAGCTGATGGAAATTCACCGTGACTTTGCCAAAAGTGAGGGCTTGGGGAGGGAGGAGCCTGGAGAAGGGGGCAGGCCGCAGGGCACGTGGAACTTGGCAACCACGGCAGAGTTAAGATGTCATGTTAGCCCCTGTTGGCCACTGTAGATACGTCTTTTCTGATCACAGGCTGATTCTGAAGTATACCCTCCCCCTCCCAGGAAGAATGGCTTCTGTGTCCCTTCTCCTCCAGAGAGGGCACGGGGTTATCTGTATTATAAACCACCTGCCTGGGGCAAGGCCTCGCCTGCTGGAATCATCTTCCTCCTCCGCCTTAGGATGCCACTCGGCCTCACACAGTACAGTTCTCTGATGAAGAACAGAAGTGACAAGGGCAAAATCAAAAACTCTCCAGAATGTATTCAGCAGGAAGCTAAGATGGGGAAAGCTGTGCTCATGCTCCCCAGCCTACACTCCCACTCCTGCCTTTGCCCGTCAGAGGAGGCCTGGCTCCCGCTATGCCTGACTGGCTGGCTGGGCGATTCTTCAGGGGCTGTGTTGTGTGCTTGTCACTCCCACACTGGGTCGCTTTTAAGATGCATGGACTTCTGAATCTTTAAAAGAAAGAACTAGAAAGGAAATCCCAGAGGCAGTTAGTTGGCAGGTCATCTGCCCGGAATGAGGAGAGAGTTGTGACAGGTTTGGGGAGCTTGAGAACAGGGGGAAATACAGGAGGGAACTGACCAGGAACAAATGGGAAAAAGAAATAAATAAGGGTGGAAGAGCGAGGAGGGCCTGGCTGATAAATTTGTCATGGTGCCAGTTGACACAAGTGTGTGGTTTTTCTGCACACAGCTCAGTAGCCTAGGAGCAGGAGCAGAGGAAGTAGATGGTTGGACAGGTTGGGCCGAGCGGGCCTGGCAAAGCAGGCGTGGCTCATGAGGCAGGTGGGAGCGGGGAGTGAGTGAGGGTGTCAGGTCTGTGCGTCCTCAGCACTAGGATAGGCAGTGACCCAGGGTCACCAGCAGGAAGAAGCCAGGGGACTGGGACAGTCAGGGGTTGGCAGGCTCTGGGAGGTTGAAGAAGGTCATGAGTGAGAGTAAGGCAGGGAGGGAGGTAGACAGACTGATGATGCAAAGGTGGGATTTCTAGGCTCCACACGTGGGAAGTGGCCTGGAGTACAGCGTGAAGGCTTAGGTGAGGGGCTGCTGGAGTGAGGGTGAAAGCCAGGGCTGGGTGGAGGCTGGTGAACTTGAAGGCCAGAGGTGCTGGTGGTGAACTTGAAGGCCAGAGGTGCTGGTGGTGAGCTTGAAGGCCAGAGGTGCTGGTGTGGTCGTGCACCCGAGCGTCACACTTCCTGGGCACTTGGCAGCAGTGGTTGAACAGACAGAGGTGCAGGTGCCACAGCCCCGTCACAGTTGAGGGATTGCCCTCGGAGGTGTGGAGGCAGCAACAGGGGCGAGGAGCACCGTGCCCCACAGGCCTCTGGGCTCCGAGTGCCTCTCCCGGGTGGAAGGCCGTTGCTTTGGAAGAGGTGCTGTAACCCACACAAAGGGCATTGGTAACCCCTCAGAGGAGGAGGTGCGTCCTTTCATTGTCAGGCCATTTTAGTGTGATTGAAAAATCAGGGGAGAAATTTCATTAGATGCCTGAAAGGGATACTGTATGAGATGTCTCTGCAAATCCTGGCCTCCCGGCCCACCTCTGCCAGAGAGCATTCCCGGTCGCACCCTGGCTGCTTTCCGAAGCAGAGTGCCGCGGGGCCCTGGCGAGGACTGTGGAGGCAGTAGCACACTCAGCCTGCCCCGCACGTTATCCTGTGTCCAGTGCATTCCTCCATGCCGGAGTGATTTCTGTGATTCCCATTTTATTGATGGGTAAAGTGAGCCAAGATTTGCCCTGATAGCACAGCTACTGAACAACGGGCCAAGCAGAGCCATCCCCATACCCTGACAGATCCCAACCACTCCCAGGTAGGCTCTGCAGACACAAGTAAGAAAACGCGTGCCGAGCCACGCTGAGCAGACGTGAGAGCAGACCGCTTCACCACACTCCCAGGGGCGCTGTGTTCGGGGTGTGCAGGTGCTGTGGCGGGGTGACTTCAGGCAGGCCCCACAGAGGAGCTCGCCCTGGGGATGCGCCTTGAGTCTGCAGGAGGCAGCTGCGTGTCACTTGGTGCATCTGCTGTTGGTCTGAAATACACCATCATTGTCTCCTCCCTCCATGTCCTGTTTTTGAAGAAACATACACACACCAATACCAATTCCTTTTCCATGAAATAGCCTTGATTTCTTCCTTTCCTTCCTCCTGCCAGGTGCCAGGAACTGAGGCACTGCGCTATGCACTGGGGACACAGAGCATAAAAAAGAAAAAAAGAATGAATGAAAATCAGATCCTGCCCTGCAGGAGCTTGCAGCCTAATGGAAGGACAGACCAGAAAGTGCTGCCTTGCTCTTGTGCATAGTCTACTCCACAAAAATGCCCAGCAGTCAGTGTACTGGCCAGAGTTTGACCGACTGCTGTCCCGGGTGATGGGTCAGTTGCTCTCTGTGAAGACCTGTTGGATGATCTCAGACAAGCAGGGGAGTGTTGGACTTCCCTAGCTGGCCCAAGCCCTCAAGGATGACTGGAACTTTATCAAGGAAGAACATTCCAGGGTCAACAGGCAGCACATGTAGAGGCAGTGAGGGGGAGGCATGGTGGTGGGGGCAGGCAAGGCCCAGGGGCAGGCGTAGTGTGCAGTCTGGTGAACAGGGCAGGGGTGCAGGTGATGGACAGTTATGCTCCAAAGAGTGGGCTTTGTCTTAAGGACAGAGGAGTAGAATGCACACATTTGCAGTTGCAGGAAAAGTCACACTGGTAGCAACAAGAAGAATGAATTGAGGGGCCGGCACAGTAGGTTAATCCTCTGCCTATGGCACAGGTTCTAGTCCCATATGGGCACTGGTTCTAATCCTGGCTGCTCCACTTCTGATCCAGCTCTCTGCTATGGCTGAGAGAGCAGTAGAAGATGTTCCAAACACTTGGGCCCCTGTTTCCGCATTGGAGACCCAGAGGAAGCACCTGGCTCCTGGCTACAGATCAGCACAGCTCTGGCTGTTGCAGCCATTTGAGGAGTGAACCAAGGGATGGAAGACCTCTCTCTCTGTCTCTCCCTCTCACTGCCTGTAACTCTACCTCTCAAATAAATAAATAAAATCTTTTTTTAAAAGAATGAATTGAAAGTAAAGATAGAGTAAACTCTGTGAGAACTGAGCTGAATTCCGGTAGCTATAGAGAGTAGAGGACAAGTTCAAGAGGGCTTAGGAGGTTAAGTCCACAGCCCTTCCTGATCAGCTGGAGGTAGGGGTAGGGAAGGGGCAGCTGAGGGGATGGCGTCGCCGTTCACTTAGGAAATCTGTTTTGGACTTGTTGAGGTACCTGTGGGACATCCAAGGGAATGTGTTTGGTGTCCCCTGCCTGGGTTTGGAGCCAGGCGAGAACTGAGGGGCAGGTGCATTTGGGAAGTCCGGAGCGTGCTGCTTGTATGTGCAGCTGCTGGAGTGAGTGAGTGCACTCAGGAAAAGTGTGCAGAGTGTGGTGGAACCATCAGGAGCACCACAGTCAGGGTTGCAAATCAGGAAGAGCGGGGCTGTGGGGAGACTTGGGGGTGGTCAGAGAGGGAGAAGGAAAACCAGAGGAAGCCCAGCACTGGTGGGAGTATGCAGCACTTTCCCCGTCTAGTCAGTTTGCTTTTAGGGTGTTGGGCTGTGTTCCACCAAGCTGCCGTGGCTGTGGGAGAACACTCACATGTTTTCCCAGTTGGGCAGAGGTTATTTAAAAAAATTATTTATCTATTTGAAAGGCAGAGTTACAGAGAAGCAGAGAGAAAGAGCAAGAGAGAGAGAGAAGTCTTCTACCCAGTGGTTCACTACCCAAATGGCTGCAGTGGCTGGAGCGGGCCAATCCAAAGCCAGGAGCCAGGAGCTTCTTCCGGGTCTCCCGTATGGGTGCAGGGGCCCAAGGACTTGGGCCATCTTGTACTGCTTTCCTAGGCCATAGCAGAGAGCTGGATGGGAAGTGAAGCAGTCGGGACTCAAACCGGCAGCCATACAGGATGTCGGCACTGCAGGTGGCAGCTTCACCCACTATCCATAGCGCCGGCCCCTGGGGCAGAAGTTCTTAATGCTCAGTTTGAGGACCTACTGCTCTACAGCAGTGGTTCCCAGAGTTCCTGAATAAGAATCTGACTGTATCCCAGAACCACTGCATCAGCATATCCCGGAGAAGGGCGAAGAATCCACCCCCGGGAAGCCTCCCCTGGGATTCCTCTCACCAGGGAAGCCTGGGAATGGTGCTCCAAGCGTTCCTGGAGAACCTGAGGTTCTTTCTGACTGCGCCGATCACACCCCACACCCACACCTTCTGCCCTAAGGTTGTGATCCCTGTGGTCATGACCGCTGTTCTAGTGAGGCTCTGGCTGGCTGGCGTTGGAAGTGCTCACCCTACCCTGAGCACTGGCGTGTTTGGGAGCCAGCAGAGATGCTGCGCTGGGGTTGTTGGTCCAGCTCCAGCCTCTGCCCGTGTTCTGACCACAGTCCTTCCCCGCTGCCTGGTGCGGCTGGGCTGATCGCCAGTTCTGCTCTGTGGGGTAACGGGCCTGAATGTAACCCAGCATTCGGAAATGCCTCTGAATGTGTGAAGCTGACTCAGAACGAAGTGGGGAAGAGGCGCCATATGTAGACGGTAGGACATTGTAGGGTTATTGCCGCTGAAAGAGCCAGCTCCACCTGCTTCTGTGTTGAAGACCTTGCGCTGCCTAGTGTCCCCAGCGTGCGACTCACAAAGCATGCCTGATTCATTTACTCTCAGGAGTAAGGTCGTGAATAAGGCCTGTCGCAACCAGAGGTATTTATTACTCCTAAGAGTGATTGACAGGACCTGTGCACCTGGTGTGAAATTGCAAATTTATTGACTTCAAACACTCTCATTGTATTAATGAATAGTCCAGATAAGTAGCCATTCCCAAACTATTGGCTTTGGGCATTGTCTTTCTAGAACAAAATGGAAACATAAATTACAGTTATTTTAATATAATAGGCATAAGAGACCTACTGAGTAAAAAACCAGGGACATCTCCTGTTTAGAGCTATTTTACATTATTAAATAACTTGTATTATGTATATTTAATCTGTTCCCCCAAGAAAATACAATCACCACTTCATAAAGAAACCTGCACCCCATTCGCTAGAGCACTGTTCACAACCAGGCAAGATAGGAACACAACCCAAGTGTCCATCAGTGGACAGATGGACAACCCATAGCATGCACATGTGTGTGCACACACACACCCACACCTGCACACACAGTGATTCTGCCCCTTGCCACTATTTGGAGTTATTTGAGAATGAAAGGTTGCAGGGTGGTGCTGCCTGGGAGGAGGTGGGTGGGTGGGTGCAGAATGAATGCCTGGGCAAGTTTTCTTTCAGGCCCATGGCACACAGATCAGCTCATGCTGTAGTGCAGGCCTGTTCTTTCACCTCTCCATTCAGCAAACTTGGGTGCCTGTCGTGTGGCAGGACCTATGCCGGGGCCATCTGTGGGGTGTCAGATAACCTCAGGGTGAGCTCTTTCTGATTCTGGAGGGCAGCAGTTGAGTCTCGGGAGCACCAGGAAGGCTCCCATGAGGCTGTTGCTGGCAGCTCCCGGTTCCCAGGTTAGCAGCGCCCAGTCCCAAGTGCACACGCCTCCTGCCAAGACTGTGTGAGACCTACAGGGTACCTGTTTTTTTGGTTTTTTGGGGTTTTTTTTAGATTTATTTGACAGGTAGAGTTACAGACAGTGAGAGAGACAGAGAGAAAGGTCTTCCTTCTGTTGGTTCCCCCCCTAAATGGCCGCAACAGCCAGAGCTGCACCTATCCGAAGCCAGGAGCCAGGTGCTTCCTCCCAGTCTCCCATGCGGGTGCAGGGACCCAAGTACTTGGGCCACCCTCCACTGCCTTCCCGAGCCACAGAAGAGAGCTGGACTGGAAGAGGAGCCACCAGGACTAGAACTGGTGCCCATATGGGATGTTGGCACCACAGGCAGAGGATTAACCTTGTGTGCCACGGCGCTGGCCCCAGGGTACCCGTTTATCAGGTTTGATTTTCTGACCATCTGAGGGATGTGAGAAAGCTATTCTAGTAGCTTTTCAACCCCAAAGGCATCTCCCAAACTCGAATGAAACCTGGTGAGAAATGAATTCCTTTGTTCCACTCTTACTCCTAGTTCAAGGTCAGATCAGGGGTTAGTGCTGTCAGGTGGAGTCACTGAAGTCTCTGCCGCCCTGCCAGGGGCCCCTGGTGCCTTGGCCTTTTCTTTGTATTTTTATTCCTCCCTATGGAGGAAGCCGATTTTCCTCTAATCCATTGTGTACTTCAGGTCTGAAGATAAAAAGATAAGTTCCTGCGTGCTCTCTCTCACACACACATAAGCACACACATGCACTCACGCTTACCCATACACATGCTCATGCTCACACGTACATGCTTACACACACTCATATACACGCTCACACGTACATGCTCACACACACTTACACACACTCATACACATGCTCACACACACTTACACACACTCATACACATGCTCACACACACACTTACACTCATACACATGCTCACACGCACATTTGCTCATACATACACATGCTCACATGCACACACATACATGTGCTCACACACATGCTCACACGTACATGCTTACACACACTCATACACATGCTCACACGCACATTCGCGCACAGATACATGTGCTCACAAACACACACTCATACACATGCTCACATACTTGCTCACACACTCGCTCACACACACTCATCCTGGGCTGGTGATAAATCTGCTCTTTGCCTGACTACAGCAGAAACAAAATACGGTGCTTCCTCCTCATGGGGGGAATTGGCATTTCTTACACGAGGAGGGGGAACAGGAATCTCTCCGGCCCCTCTCAGCTTGCGTCTCAGCTGTGGAAATGAATAACATCCTGCCTGGCCCTGCCAGGGTGAAGCGGGGAGCAAGAAGGGAGAATCCTGGCCCCGAGCTCCTGCCAGGGAGACCCTTGAGCTGGCAGGAAGTCATAACCAGGTTAACACCATTATCTGGGCAGGGCCGAGCAGGAATGTCCTGCAGGCAGGTGAGGACCCCCCCCCCAGCCTACAGACAGCTGGGCCTGTGAGGGAGAAAGACAAAGGGAGGCCCCTCATGGGCCCACCCGGGTAGCCAGGTGGGAAGGCCCTTGGGTGCATTAACATGAGGCTGGAGCTGAGGGAAGAGGCCGAGGGACTGGCCGCTATGGGGATTGAACTCATGGGGTGGGAAGGAGGAGAAAAGGAGGGGAGATGGCGGCAGCATCGGCTTGAGGAGTCGTGGCTGCCGCACACCCAAGCCTCTGTCTGCTGCTGCTTCTGTCGCAGACTGCGCGTCATTCCCAGCCTGGGCCTCCAGCTCCTTGGCTTTAGAGAAGGTTGAACCTGAAGTACTACAAAGAGCCAGGAGCCGCAAACTGCTCTGGGGCTGGGACAGAGGTGAGCAGTGGCCGTCCAGCTTTAGCGAGCACACAGGTGCCTGGGGACCTCATTTAAAGGTGGAATCTGATGTTGCAGGCCTGGCTGGGGCCTGAGAGGCTGCAGGTCCAGCAGACCTCCCTGTGTGCCATTGGGCAGGCCACACGTGGAATACTCCTATGCCACGTGCTCAGCTGTGGAAAGGGGACTGGTAAGCATCGCCTTGACGTCCTCCTGCAAGGTGCGGTGAAGATAAGGGAGCAGAGGCCTACGGGAGCATGGCGTCAAGGCAAAGCAGTGTGTAGTGCCAGGGATTATTGCCACCATTGAGGCTTCTGCGCCTGTTGCTTACCCTGTGTGTGTTCCTGCAGCACCTCAGCGTCTCCCTGCCTCCTCTCTGGTCTCCAGACCTGTGCTGCAGAGTCAGTGTGGCCCCCACCATGGCTGCACAAATACTTTGATGTGTCGAGGCAGGAAATGACAGTCCCCAGGCACCCCGCTGGTTCAGGTGTGGGACAGTCCCCTTAAACAGGCCTAGGATGATGCACTCAAGTGCTACCAGGCTAAGCCCCACCCTCAGCCCCATGACTGCGAGACCAGACAGGCAGACAGGGCAGTCCCCGTGCAACAGAAGGCCTGGGGAAGCGCCTGCCTGCTCACGGAAACCTTCATGGATGCTGCCACGGCCGCCCTGCGCAGTGGGAGGCAAAGGGGACCAGCCTCTGTAGCCTCGTCCGTGAAGTGGAGCAGACAGCATCTGCGCTGCCTGTGGCGCTCTGCCGTGGTCCTGTAAGCAAAGTGAGACGATTTTGTGAAAAAGTGTGCTGATCCTGTGGAAACAGGCATGGCGTTCGTGAGACTCTGCTCGCTGCTCCCACGGGAGGAGCACGGTGCTCAGACTGCCCTCCCCCAGCCCCGCTGTAGGATGTCCCCTTGTCCCCCGCTGGCCTCCAGGCCTTGCAGAAACCATCCTCACGCCCCTCCAGTGACCAGTGGTGCTGCTTTTCGTCTTACCCTCCTTGGGCCCTGAGTTCAGGTCTTGCCTGAGCAGCTTCAGTGGAGGGGCCTGGAATGTCAGGATCCTGTTGTGTGCCGTACCCACCAGCACAAGCACAGGCCGGGCCCGGCTCTTTGTCCCGAGCCCCCTGCAACTGAAATCGTGGTGCAGATTCATGCCTTGGAGTGAGAGCTGACAGCTTAGGTGGCGGAGGGTGCTACAAAGCTGACCACGCACACTGCAAATAGAGCTGCCTGTTGCCCAAGCGGGCAGTGCCACTGTAAAGCCCCTATAATTAGGTGGCTACCAAAACAACACACCCAATCAGCGCCTCAGCCACAGCAGGACCCTCCCCTTCAGCGCTGAGTGGGCTCCTCCCTGCCTTTCCCCGAAGCTGCTGGCCCAGGGCCTCCTGGGAAGGAGCAAATAGATCCTGGCTCAAGTAGGAACCCATTTGCCCACCCATCCCTCCTTGGCCTTTGAAGTCCCAGAGTCCAGCCCAGACCCAGGCCTGCAGAGTGTGGCCCCAAACACCTCAGCGAGCAGGGGAAGCCGAGAGGTCTCCCTCTGAGGGAAGGCAGAGCCGCACGGGGAGAGCAGAGGTCAGGGATAATCCACAAGCACAGGCCGCTCGGGGCTGTGTGCAGCGCGAGCGTCACATCTGCAGCCCGGTCGTGATAAATCCGATGGTTTTGGAAACATCTTTGATTAAGGAAAACAGAAGACGTCCTGGCCCCTGCTTTCAGACTTCAAAGTTCTCCGTGGAAAGCCTCACATTTGACTTAACTTACAGAGCGCAAATCACAGGATTGTAGGGGGTTGCTCCCCCCACCCCAGCTGCCCAACTGTAAGAACCTCTGTAAAATTTTAGATAGGACAACTGAGCTGAAAACCCCCTTCTCCGTACTGCAGCCAGATTTTCAAAACCAAAATTCAGGTGAAGGAGTCTGGCATTGTGGTGCGGCAGGTTAAGCCGCTGCGTGGGGTGCCTGCATCCCCTATCAGAGAACCCGCGATTAAGTCCCACCTCTGCTTCTAATCCAGCTTCCTGCTAATGCACATCCTGGGAGGTAGCAAGTGCTGGCTCAAGCACGTGGGTGTCCGCCACCCACGTGGGAGAGCCAGGTGGACTTCTTGGGCTTGGCCTCTGCCTGGCCCAGCCCCAGCTTTTGCTGGCATTCAGAGAGGAAGCCTGCAGATGGACAATCTCTCTCTCTCTCGCTCTCGCTCTCTGACACTCTGCCTTTCAAATAGAAAAATAAATAAACTTTTAAAAACATTCAGCGTACGTTTCAGGTAGCAAGTGTAAGCTTTAGAGTCAGAGGAACACAGAATCCTGGCTGAACACTTGATATTGTCACCTTGAACAAAAATGTTACTTTTCTTTGCCTCACTTTTTTGATCTGTAAAATGGGAATAATTGCATCAATATAATTGAATTCTTGGGATGATTTAGATGACATATAATGTATATAAAGTGCTTAGCGCTGTGTGGCACAAAATAGACACCCAGGTATTTAAGTTCTCTTTTCCTGATATCTGACCCAACTATTTCCCATCAGGACTGTCCTAGAAAACCTACTTTATGTGTTTGTTGCCTTGAGAGATACGGTTCCGTGAAATGTTTCCATTCAAGGAGTTGTTCGGTTTCCGAGGACACGCTGCATCTTCCAGTGAATTCTGAGCCTTTCCGGGGGAATCCTGTACAGGATGCTGAGTGCACATTTTCTCTCCATCCTCAGAAGCAGGCCAGAGTATACCGAAGGAGCCATTTCATTGCAATGTAGCTGCAAAATGATTCTTCCTTTCTCAGGTGGAGGGGTAGAAGTCACGACTGCACTGGGCTTGGGGGGTGGTGTTTGGCCCAGTGGTTAAGATGCCAATTAGTACACCCACATCCCATTGCAGGGCATCAGAGTGCCTGGATTTGACTCCTGCTCCAGCTAATGACTCCAGCTTTCCTACTAATGCAGACCTGAGAGGCAGCAGGTGAAGGCACAACTAGTTGGGCTTCTGTCACTCATGTGAGATACCTGGGCGGAGTTCCCAGCCCCAGGCATCAGGTGGTGCAGGCATTTGGGGAGTGAACCAGAAGATGAGATCTCAGTTTCTCTCCCTCTCAAATAAATAGAGGAATAATTTTTAAAAACGTAAAGCAGAGGGGTAAAGGGTCTCTGAGATGCCATCTGGGAACTGCTGGCCTGACTCTGGGGCAGCAGCAGGTCGGTGTGAGTGAGGAGCCAGCCCACACTCTCCTTACTGGGGTCCCCAGTGATGACTGAGCTCCTGGGCTCACAGGCAACCTGCTGGGGCCCTGCTCAGTGACCTCACCATGCGTGAAGGTCGCAGACATGCCTTGACAGTCAGGAAAGGGTGTCTCCTAGGAAGCCGCGTATCCAAAGGATAGTGGAGGGTCACAGGCAAAGGGATTCGATTTTTAAATCTCCTTTCAGAGTTGTTCTTTAAGCCCTTTCTGACTCAGGCATGGATTGTGTACAGAGGTGGAATTGCTCCTGCCATTTTTCACACACTAGTTGGTACACATTCCTGATCTGAATTGAGAGGAAATGTGCCACAGGTGCAAGGGATGGGTTCACACTGCATCGCGTGCGGCCCGCCAGGGCCTCTGGGAGGAGAGTCAGACGTGGGCCACAGAGCTGCAGGCTCCCTGGCCCCAGCCGGGCGGAGGTGGCACTCAGGGCTTCCCCAGGAGGCAGCTGAGCGAGGATGGGCCTCCCGCACAGGCTCTGCCTCTCGCTGGCTGACCGGCTCCTAGCGGGCACGCTGCTCTGCAGGCATTTCGCTCACTCGACCTTTCTATTTTTTCTTTTAATTTTGTTTTGTTTTTATTGATTACAAAAATTGTGGAAAACACCTAGAAAGGTATAAGGTAACAGGAGAGCCCCCTGGCCCGGCTCGGGAGGCTCCTTGGTGACCGTTTGCTGTGAGTCCTGTAGGACACTTCTCTGGGCTGCTGGTGGGTGCTCACTCCATAATTCTGCCTTGCTTTGCACATTGAATGTGCTGTAAAGGGTGTCTCCTCTTCACACCTTCTGTTCTCCAAGGATTAAGTGTAATTTACATAACAAATACCCCTTGTGAAGCCGTGTGAAAGAAGTAGCATCTCGGTGCATAAAGGTTTCTTGGCCTCCTAGCTTATATACTTGGACTGGAGTTCTGAAAATAGCATTCGCAGGTCAGTAGATGATGCGTTTCTACCTTAGTGTGTACCGCCACTCAGATAGCTTAGACTAGTAACTTCCCATCAGCTACAATCTGGCTTATCCCATCCGGACCCATACAGACTGTGGTTCCATTTATTTATTCAAGAATTTAGGGGTGTGGGTGTTGCAACATAGCAAGTTATGCTACTACTTGAGACACCCACATCCCACATCGGAGTGTCTGGGATCAAGTCCTACCTCTGCTTCTGATCCAGCTCCCTGCTAATGAGCCCTGGAGGCAGCAGATGATGGTCCAAGTACCTGGACTCCTGCCACCCATGTGGGAGACCCTGGTGGAGTCTCTGACTCCTGGCTTGGGCCTTTCCCAGCCCTGACTGTTGTGGGCATATATGGAGTGAACCAGCAGGTGGAAGATCTGTCTGTCTTTCTCCCCCTCTTCCCCTCCCCAGTCCCGCTTTCAAGTAAATAAAACTTAAAAGAATTCAGGGAGCTGAAAATCCTGTCCCCACCCTCAGATGTGGAGAGGTCATTGGTACATAAGGGACCTAACCTTGTTCTGAGCTAAGGGGCCGACCCCCTGCTCCCCGAGCCCTCAAGGCATCCTCTGGAAAGGGGGCACCATGGCCAGCGAAGGCCCCTGCCTCGCAGTAGGCAGTGAGCAGTCAGCCTGGGTGGAGCCGCTGCACGGGGACAGGCTGCTCCGCTGGCTGCCTGTCTTCTGCCCAGGATTTCCTCAGGGACTCACCTTCACTCTCTAAAAAATCCCAGGGCCCCCAAGAAGTGCTGCTCACAGAGCCAGGGGTAATCCCCTCTGAGTGGCCCCTGGTCTAAGAAACCAGTGTAAACACTGCAGTTACAGACCTGATTGGTTTTTATTTGTGACGCAGGCGTGGGGTGGTTCTCTACAGCAGACTGAGAGCTTCCCCAGGCAGAATCAGAACATTGGGAGCAGGCATCGGCCCAACAGGGGGAAAGCTGATTGGTTAACCTCAGGTTATATCAGGTTACTTCCGTGAATAAGGGTTAAAGCAGAAGGGCGTCCTTAGGATATGGACTCAGGTGGACCAGAATCTCCTGTTTGAGAATACAGGTGGGCCAGGGGCCTGTCTACAGCCCCTCGAAGTTCGGGTCCAATTCTGTCCCATTCAGCACAAGTGATCCATTTTGTCCTGGTCTGGTTCCGTGCAGAAGTTTCACAACAGCCTCCCATGATTTTACTTAACACACTGATGTGATGCTCACAGTAGCCCTGCAAGGCAGACGTCAATTCCCTGGCTTGCAGGTGCACTGTTCTCTTGGAGAAGCTGTCAGAAATCACCAAGGTGTGCTGCATTCAGACAGCGCTACTCAGGGTGGCACTCCGTGAAGGCTCACCTCTTCCAGCCCCGGCGGCCCCCAGCGTCCCCTGGCCTGTGGCTGCATCACTCCCGTGTCCGTCTCTACCTTCATATGGCCTTCTTCTCTGTGTCTGTCATCTCCCTCTCTCTGCTCTTCCAAGAACACAGGCCTTTGGGTTCAGGATGGTAAATTATGACTGAAAGGCTCTATGTCCAAATCAGGCCACATTCTGAGGCTCCAAAGGGACATGTCTTTTAGTAAGGACACCTTTCACCTGACTGGCTATAGTTGAAGAAACCAAGGTCCAAAGAAGGGAAATGACGTTCCCAAGGTCATTCAGTGAAAAAAATAACTGGCCGTGGCGTATGAGCCCAGGTCTCCTACTCACCAAGACTATGTTTAATTAGGCAAAAGCAAGACTCCTATGGGATGGTTCCTTGCTTATATTACCTGGTTCACAGAAAATGAAATTTGGTAACTTACCCTAGGATAGCTCAAACATTATTTTACCATTTTTCTGTTAGCATCTTGTTAATTCCATAATTCTGTTAGGATATTATTATTATTTACTTTGGAATTAATTGATGTCAGTGTGAACCCCTTAAATGAGAATCAGTTATTGTCCATGTGTTAAGTGTGGAAATCGCGTCCCAGAGGGAGTCAGTCACTTGCCCGGAGAGACCAGAAATGTCTGTGGAGGAATTCCAGTTATAGCCTACATCTCCCACTTTGTAACTGATGTTCGAGCCGTCAAGGTCTGCGTTAGGATCCTCTGCTGCGGTTGTGAGTGTGACCTGGCTGTCACAGTGACGCCTGTGTGTTAAACTGCAGGGAAAGTCTTAGTGTCTCAGTTACTCCTGGCCTTTTCTTCCTGCTGCAGGCCTCTTTGACATGTTGGCCACACGGGGCACTGTGTTCATGTAGCCCCTTCTCCCTCGGGGCCCCGAGGGCCTGTGAGAGCAGGTGTGCGTGCCGTCGCCACCTGGCCTGTCGGCACCTCCTGGCTTTACAACATTAGCTGGGGTGTTCCTTTGCTTTGCTGGAAGCTTTTCTTTACTCTTTGCTCAGTTTGCTTCCAAACTGGAGTAGTAAATCCTTTAAAAATAATCTACTACCCAAACCCCAAATCCCACAGCCAAACAGATGAACACGGGACATACAGGGTTCACTGATTGTCACCGTTTCATGAGCCTTAGATCATCTGAGTCATAACAGATGGCTGGAGCCCAGGCCCCTTTGCTCAGTCCCACATCTGCCTATAGGGGTGAGAGTGTGTTATTTACGGGAACCAACCCAGAGAATGCAGAGGACAGGCGGAGTGCTCATCTCCTTGCGCCCTACCTGCCCTCCCACAGTGAACCCATCTGGTAGTCGTGACATGGTGCACGATATCATGAACTATGAAATATGCCTGCAGACATCCCAGTGACCTCCCGATCAGTCAGGGTTCTCCCGGAAAACAAAATGGGAGACGGGTACATGTATGTATGTGTCATATGTATGTGTCATATGTATATGTCAGCAGATCATTCTCGGGATTTCTAATGGGAATTACCTGGTGTGATTAGGAAGGCTTTGAAGTCCCACTCGCTGCTGCCGTGAGCTGCAGGCCCAGGGCGGCTGGAAGTGCCACCGTGGGAAATCCCGGTGTAAGTCCTTGTCGGATCCCAAAGCGCAAAACGCAGTGGATGAGGGGCTGAATGTGTGAGCCCCAGCCTGGGCCCGGAGGTCTGAGCACCAGGAGCCGCAGTGTCCAAGGGCAGGAGGAGACAGTGTCCCAGCTCAGAGGGAGTGAATGTGTCCCTCCGGCCTCTTCTTGTCTTCTTCAGACCCTCAGCTGGACAGCGCCCACCCACATGGGCGAGAGTGGATCTTCCTCACCCTGTTGACTGGTTCTGATGCTAGTATCTTCCAGGAACACTCCACATCATGTTTTGCCAGCTCTCTGGGCATCCCTTAAGCCCATCAAGTTGTCATGTAAGATTGACTGTGGCACCAAGTAAAGCTCAGGTCCTGGTGCTAATCGGAGCTGAGCTGAGGTGTGGAGAAGGCAGTGCTGGCGGTCAGCTCAGCAAGGAGCAGTGTGGTGCCCCAGCGAGGAGGCCGTGCAGGGGTTGCCTTCACCGTGCATGGGACAGTCTCTTGGTTACCAAAGACACTGCTATTATCACAAGCTCTCACCTAGCAGGGCCTACCTCTTGTAGTGCAGGTTTTCTTGTTGGCCTCCCTGGTTGCTGGAAATCTGATCAGCAGACTCTCAGCAAAGTCCAAACCCAGGGCTGACTCTAGTGGTTGCAAAGCGGAGGCTGTGCCACCGTCTCGTAAATAGCGGGATACGATTAGACACTATCAGCTTAGGGGAGCATCCCGCCTGCCCGCTCCGCCTCCACCCCCATGCGTCCCTGCCCCTTTTACAACGCTGTACAAAGCAGCGCGTGTCCCCCCGCCTCCCCACATGCTGCCAGCTTGCCAGCTGTCACAGCATGCCTTTAATGGGTTTGTGAAACCCAAGAACCTGCCCCGTCTCTTCTCTGGGGAGAGAGGATCACACTGGATGCCAAGCTGGGTAGCAGGATGCCACCGCCCTCTGTGCCATCCCACCCAGCTTGCTTTGCTTTTTCTCATTCTCAGAATCTCCAAATCTAAAATAAGTGTACAGAAGGCGAAAGAGTGATGCTGTAGGGTTGCTCTCCGCTCCGGTCTTCTGATGTAAAGTCCATTTTCTGCCTACCCTAGCTCTAGCTGCCTGGGCTCAACAACCTAAAGGGTGTTGACACCAGAGTAACAGATCTCTCAGATGGTCATGATGAGTCAATCAGCAAATGTGCTCCGAGCACGCGTGACGTACTAAGCCTTGCGCTGTTTCCCATTATGGAGAAATGCATGCCCTCAGGAGTTCTGAGCTGCTTGGAGAAGCGTAGGGTGTGAGCAGCATACGGCAGTGTGGAACACGGCCTTGGGAGTGGTCTGTGGGGTCCCGGATCAACCTGGGCTCCACAGAAGGGTTTCAGAGGCATCATGCTTGCGTGGTGTTGTGTCTACCAGCACACAATTTTTGGATAAATTTCTAGCTTTCCTCAACTACACTCCTAAAGATAAAAACAAACAAAACAAAAAACCCGCGTACTATCAGAGCTGGTGGGTGAATATGCATTATGTGCTGAGTTATTGTGCAGGGTTCCATTGAGCAAAGTCAGACTTGAACCCCATCTTGGAGCATGACGGAGACTGCAGGGTACAAGGCGGCCCTGCAGGGTAGATTCTCAGGCGGCTTCCTGGGAAGACCGTGGTGCTCGGTGTGGTTTCTCACATCTCTCAGACTCCGGAAATGCCAGTCGTTAACGTGGTGACAGTTGCTGCTGCTTCCCACGTTCTGGGAAGGCCCCTGAGCGTGGGCTCCTGGATTTTTGGCCCACTCTGTATTGCCATACAGTGCAGTGCTTGACTCCTGTCATGTGGACAGTAATCCGTGTTTGATGAATGCCTGAGTTAGCTGAAGTAACGCACGTGCGAGGGCTCTGCAGCCAGCGGCTCGTTGCTTCCGCGTGTCTTCATTGCTAGCATGTGTGTTTTGAGCTTTGCAGCGGCCTGCGCTCAGTGAGCATCTTCTCCCCCGAAGCTGACCCTTCCCCACGTAATGGGACTCAAGGGCCAGCCCCTCTGATGGAGCGTCCCTGGGCTAGAAGATGAATGAGAGCTGTGCCGTCACCACCGACAAGATGTGCAGTTTCCTAAGAGCCCGGAGGTGACCTCAGCCTCCAAGGGCTTGGCCTGTTCACCCCTGCGCCTGCTGACATGCACACACCTGCAGCCCCGCTCCACTCCGCAGCCAGGAGGGCAGCAGCGGGCTGGGAGGAAGGGCGGGGGGTGGGGGTGTTACATAGCCTCCGCCGGGACCCTTCCAGCTGGAAGAGCAGGGGCTCTGCTGTGACTTCCCTGGGCAGCAGAAACGACCACGTGCTCCTTTGCTGGGCACCCTCAGGGTCTCCTGCCTCCCACCCACAGCTTCTTAGATGTGTCCAGGCTGACAGAATAGACCTCCAGTCTGTCTTTTCCCTCCTGTGTGCCGTCGGACCGCGGGGTGACTCCTCATCATCACCATGATACACCCAGGGACTTGGGCTGGTCGGGAGCAGGAAAGAGTCTTAAAAGGCGTTGGAGGAAGATGACAGGAGTTCTCTGCGCAAGTTGAGAGAAACAGGGCGGGAGGCAGTGTGCGAGTGCATAGAGTGAGCTTGTAGAAAGATGGTCTTCCCCGAGTTACACCCCTGAAGGGACACTCTGCCCGCCTTGCCTCACGTGACGACCTTGCTCGCCAAGCCCACGCTGTGAGATATTAAGATTAGCCACCCATGCTTTCGAAATAAATACTACGTATTTGTGTCTATGTAACATTTCCATAGGGAGGGAATATGGCAAAATATTTTTAAAAAGCAGAATGTGTTCCGAGCCGAGAATCAGGAACACATAGCTTAACCTCTGCAAGCTTCCTGCTCCTCCTCCTCCTCGGCCGAGCTGAGGATCATGGCGGTCAAGGTGTAGACGCCGAGGTAGGCACTTGTGACTGTTGGCGAGCACACGGGTGACATGCAGGGCACCCCTGTGTCAGGCACTGCCAGCTTCATCTCACGTAGCCTCTCCGCCCCCGACGGCTCCATGCAGTTGTGTTGTTTTGTCCGTTCTTCCCGGGGAGGAGTTGGTGACTCCAGCCTGGAGTTGCACAGTGGATATGTGTGAGTCCAGGTTTAAATCCAGGTCCGCTTGCATTCTGCACCATGACATGACTTTCAGTTCTCTCCTCTGATACCGTGTACCCCTCTGTCAGCCATGGCAGGCCCACCCTCTCACCTGAGCGCTTGGTGCTGTAACGGGGGGTCTGGATTCTGATTTGTTTGATTGTCTTCCTGACTCGGCCCTGCCCTGGCCTCTTGCACAGAAGGTGTGGTCAGCAATGGGGACACCTCCCAGAGGCAGCCGCCCTGCTGTCCGCTCCCGTCCTGCTCTCCAGGCTCTGAGCCACCTCTGGCTGCAAGAAAGCTGCGTGCCCAGGCAGGAGGAGGGTCCTCGTTTTCTCATCATTCTGGCTTCTGAAGTCATGAGGCACAGGCGTGCCAGACAGACCCTGGAGAAAAACACCCATGCTGTAGCTGCTGGTGCTGTCAGATCAGCCGGGGCGGGGAAGCTGGCGTAACCGCACTGCTCCCTGGAGCCAGAGCAAAGAGTCACTAGTTCCCTTCAGAGATGGGAAAAGGAGATAGAGGCACTCGGCTGACGTCACGGGGGAACAGGCAGTAGACTCAGAAAGCTCGTTGGTGTCATCAGCCCTGCGTGTCCTTGGGAGCTGGGCTGATGTTGGCTGGGTGTTGTCCCCAGGCCTGGCGCTACCAGTGTCTGACTTCGCTCAGCCCAGGCCCTTGGAAAATTTGCTAACACTCAGCACCTAGCTCCCCAGAACGCCACCCTGACCCTACTCAGTGGGACAGAGAAGGTGAGTGAGGGCAGCACCCCATTGCCAGTCGCCAGCAGCCCCACCGCCAAGGCTGCGTCTTCAGGGAGACGCAGTTACAGCTGCTGCCCACTTTCCAGTGCCAGGAGCCTGTTCTACAATTAGGTAAGAGATAAATCAAAGCCAGAGTTGGCTGATGAAATTCAGGAGCTGGTGGTGACCCTTGCCACACATATAAATCCCTGCAGGCTGGCCAGGGGCCTTTGTCTGGTCAGGAGGGTTCAGGATTATCTGGCCCACTTTGCTGATGTATGGAGTCCCCGGCTGCCGGAGTGTTTACCAACGGTTATCACCTCGATGCTTTGGCCATTATCAGAGGCAGGGCCGCCTGCCGGGGCCGGGGCTCGCACCCTCTCTATTACCACCTGTCATTGGCAGAGAGTGTGCTCTGACACTGCCCAGTCCCCCGTGCCGAGGGAAGATAGTTTCTGACGGCTGATCAAAGAAGAGAAGCAAGGCCTGATAAAGAGTGTGTGTTTCATGTACTTTTAACTTTGGGAAACACTGGCATTTGCATTTTTCCCCCATCTTCCTGGTGCTGGCAGGAACCAAGCCCAATAAATGTAGTGGATTCAGTTACCTAATCACTGTGGAAATGGCATGTGCTTAAAGCAACAGAGCATGACAATAATCTCCTTCCAAAAGAGAGGGGATGAAATAAGCTTTCACAGAAGACTTGCTGTAGAATAGAGTAGAATAATTTAAACTTGGACTTTGAAGTGATCTTGCACGTAAAACCTAATCTTGGCATTCAGCAGAACACCATGTACTTTTCAGAATTGGGGAGAGCTTTGGATTAAAGAACGATCCTTAGTGAAGATGCTGTCATTCGACTCTACTGGTGGTGTCCCTGCGTGGGGCCCTGGCTAGGCACGCGTCCTTGGGAAGTTGGGAGACTTTGTGGCGGAGTAGAATGAGTTGCACAGAGAGGCATCGAGAGATCTGAGTTCTCAAACACACACTGTGGCTGTGTGTTCTTGGGCCCTCGCTTCCCAGCGCATCTAGTGTAAAATGAGGAGATTGGGGGGTCCAGGTTATAGGACATAGTGGTTTAGAAAGTCTTTTTGCCATTTAGCCCATGCAACCCCTTTTGTGAATGCCATTTCGAGTGGAGTCCCATTGTTTCTAACAGAAGTGGAGATGTGTTGGGGGAACTTGGGAGGGGGCGGCCCTTCCCCCGTCCCGGTTCTTGAAGCAGTCCCTGAAGACCAGAGGGAAGCCCCTCCGAGCTCCTCAGAAGCAGTTTTGAAATCAGTGCCCTCAGTGGCGTGGAGGTCTGCGCCATCTGCAGCGGCAGGAGCTGCTTTCTCCCGCACCACCCGTTCCTGTCCCGCATTGGTCTCCCTCCACCCAGCGCACAGAAGTGCTAACATGGGGCGTCCGTGAGGGACAGACAGAGAAAGAAGAGCCTGCCCCGGGAAAACCTGGACTCAATCCAGATGTCCCCTGTGTGCCACAGGTACCTTCGACCGGAGCGTGACCCTGCTGGAGGTGTGCGGGAGCTGGCCTGAGGGCTTCGGGCTGCGGCACATGTCCTCCATGGAGCACACAGAGGAGGGCCTGCGGGAGCGGCTCGCCGACGCCATGGCCGAGTCACCCAGCCGTGACGTCGTGGGATCTGGAACAGGTAACAACGCATCCCACTGCCATCCTGACTTTTGGCGTAGTGCTTCTTTGGCAGGTGAGGGCGTAGGTGTGTTTGCAGGTTTCTGCAGTAGCACTCGGCTCGCTCCGCGTGAAGGGGGCTTCCCGGTGGAACTGCCCCCTCCCATAGGGTGAGCACAGGCACCAGCGCCATGGTCGGCGCCATCGTGTTGTGCTGGAGCTCCAGAAGGACTCCCCCCAGGAAAACGGAGTCCCCAGGTCCTCCTGCAGCTCTGACTGCAGAGGCCGCACGCATCTCCCGCCAGGCTGGAAGCTTTGCAGACTGGTGGCAGGGGGCCTGGCCTTGGAGGGCACAGCATGGAGCAGGCAGGGCTGCTTCAGCCCCCACACAGCTCTTTCCTAGCCTGCCTTTTGCCCCGCACTCTTGCCCCTGAGCACATCCAGTGACAGCGGCCTGGGGTGGCCTTCTGCCTCCACAGAGGATGAGAAGGCCATCCTTAGATGATGAGTGGGCGCTCCCCTGGGCGGGCACGTGTACGTGGGCACGTGACTCTCACCCACCCTCACACAACTCTCACATGCACTCTCCCTGCCATGCGCACGACTCCCACACAAGTGCACACAGCTCACACACACGCTGTCACATGCACATGACACAACATGTTCATGACCCTCACACATGCATGCACATGCGTATGACTCAAGCACGTTCCCGACTCTCTCACACGCACTCTCCCACACATGTTCTTAACCCTCACACACGCACTGTCACATGTACATGACACACACATGTTCACGGCCCTCATACGTGCATTGTCACATGCACATGACACACGTTTGCAACCCTCACACATGCACTGTCACATGTACATGGCACACACATGTTCACAGCCTTCACATGTGCATTGTCACATGCACATGACACACATTTGCAGCCCTCACACATGCACCGTCATGTGCACGACACATGTTCGTGACCCTCACACCATGCACTGTTGCATGCACATGACACACACGTTCACGGCTCTCACACATGCACTGTCACGTGCACATAACTCCTACACACATGTTCACGACTCTCACACACACACTCTTGCTCACATTCACAACGTTCCTTCCCTCTCCACACGACTGTGACACAGGCTGGGCTTCCTCGTGCTAGGTAGCTCTTGCTGTCTGGGCTGATCTGGCCCCACTCCGGCATCTCCTGAATGCCCCAGAGGCCGCTTCCCAGCTTTCTGAGGTCGATGCGGACTTTTTAATGGGTTGGGCGGACACTGGCTGAAGACCTTTTCCTCTCTCACTTGCCTGAGTCCTCTCAGGATTTTCACTCTTTGCTGTGAACTGTTCCATCCCTGCCTCCCAGGCCTGCCCGCACAAAGGAGCCATGTGGGAGACACCCAGAACCCTGTGGTGCTGACCGGGACCAGCAGGGCGCCCTGAGGGTCAGAGCACCTGAGGCTGGCAGCACCCGGCGACATCTCCCAACTCCTCCAGCCCCTCAGATGAGGGCTGGCAGTTAGGCCGACCCCTGCCTTCTTGGCCATCCCCAAGCCAGGCCCCCTGTGCCCACATGAAGAAGACAGAGTCATCTCGCATAGGGGCCTGTCCACAGGGCAGGCGCTGAATGAACCAAATGGAGTAGAGGAGGCCAGGCGGAAGGGGCGGGGCTTGGCTGGAGACCTGGAAGGTGCTCATGGGCCCCAATGACAGCCATCTCTCTTCCCTGCCACCCGCCCCACAAAGGAGGGAGCTCAGGCCTTGCAGGTGCCACGGCTGTGTCCCCCCCCAACCGTGCGCTGGTGGGCACGACCACGTCCTGCCACTCTAGCCCACTGTGTAGCCCCCACTCACTTGTGGAGGACACATCACTCCTCTACCCAGGGAGGCATGCATTGTTCTTTCTGCACCTGGCTCCTGGCTCGCCTTGACCCTGCATCTCTGGGGCCCGACCAGCCTGGGCTCCCACAAGAGCCTGGTGGCACTGGACTCACTCCCCGGGAGCCTCCCTCCTCTGAGGCCTCTCCTCCCCAGCATAGCTCAGCCCCCCGTGAGCAGATTGGAAGGTGCCTTCCACGGGAGCTGTGCCTGGGTGCAGCCTGAGCAAAGCTGGCAGTGATTCGTCTATCAGACAGCAGAGGGATTCAGGGACATCGTTGTGGCCTTAAGCAGGTTCATGAAGTTACAAAGAATAAAAAAAGAGAGAGAGGAAATTAAAACTGCATGGCCCATAGGTCAGAAAATAAAGAGACTCTCTTTTTTTCAGTAGAGGGATTTCATTTTCCTCTCCAAACTGTCACCGAAAGGGATTCACTTAGTTTTCTGTGACTATAATAGATGTATGTTTTATTTATTTATATGAAGTTCTCTGTTTGGAAGGCCAGTAAGTAGAGCAGGTGTCATGGAAGTTAGCTGGTTCCCTGCGCTGTGTTGGGAATCACTTTTCACACTTCCCAGCTGGGGATGAAGTAGGAGCCTGGTAGTGCTGCACGGCAGCACGGGCAGCCTCACACACGCAGCCCCGGGCAGCTCAGCCCCCAGAGGGTCAGGAAGTACCGAGTGTCGGGTGAGGATTTCCAGCAAGTCACCTTTTGCTCAAAGCAGCCTCCGTTCCCCTCTTCCCACAACGCTGCTCCCCTGGGTATTCATAGGACAAGCAGACAGGGTGACATCAAGTGCTGGCCTGCTAGGTGCTCTGATGCACCAGAGATAAGTCAGTTCCTTGCATGCCTTCTCACAGGCACCAGTGTAATATCAACATGCAAATGAAGCAGAGGCCAAGTCAAAACTTGCTCTCGTGACCCCTGACCCGGAAGCACATGATACAGCACACCTCACTGTTACCAAGGTTGAGCTGGCAGCGGTGTTGGTAAATATTTAACAACCGGTTCTCCAAAGGAATGCAGGGAAGCCCTGCTTTGTGGACTTCCGAAGAGTAAAAATGGTGAGCGTGAGTTTCAGGCTGTTGGCAGGATGTGTAGTCGGCTGGCAGAATTCCTGGAAATGTGCGGACTCTGGCGTCCCGTCGCAGGCTGCACCGTGGGACGAGGGATTCTCCCCAAGCGCAGCTCAGTGGCAGCTGTGCAGCGCAGAGGCTGAGATACCACTTGGGACAGCCGCATCCCATAATATCAGCGGGCTTAGTTTTGAGTCCCAGTTTCACTTCCCATCCAGCTCCCTGCTGATATGCACCCTGGGAGGTAGCAGTGATGGTTCAAAGACATGGTCCCCTGCCATGCACGTGGGAGGCCTGGATGGAGTTTCAGCCACTTGGAAGTGAACCTGTGGATGAAAGATAAACCTCTCCCTCACGCTCTCTATCTCACACTCTGCCTTTCAAGTAATCGTTTTATAAAAAGCATGAAAATCTTTTAAAAGGTCCCAGGTGGCCAGGGTGGTGGGGACGTTGACGAGCCCGTGGTCCAGGGATGTAAAAGTTCACGTCAAGGGATCGGGTCCCCGAGACCTGTCATCCCGCATGGTGAAGATGTTATGTCCTTGAGCATGGCCTGGAGAGTATGTTTTAAGTATTCTCACCACGAAAATCTGCTACGGGGTAATACGATGTTAGTTTGATTTGGCCATTCTGTAATGTGTAGTTATTTCAGAACTTCAGGTTGTACGTGATGAATAAGTACAATTTTTATTTGTCAATTAAAAAGTAAGTTTATTTAAGAAAAAGAAGAAGAAGGGGTGTCTGCAGGCCACAGCGTCACCATTCCCTAGGAGCTGACGAGAATGCAGAGTCTCAGGCCACACCCAGCCCTCCTCAGTCAGGGTCCATACCCTAACAGGAACTGGAGTTCAAGGTCTATTTTTAAACCTGATTGACCTGTCAGGCGGGTGCTAGTTCAGGCCTCCACGGAGGCTGCAGATCCGGGCGACTCGTGAGGTCACACGTGTGACGGCAGGCCCAGCTCTGGCGTCGCTAGCTGCATCGCCCTCTCACTAATGCTCTCAATGCCCCTCACTCCCGCTGCCCTTCCGCTGCTGCGTGCACTTGGGGGTCAGTCCCACTCTGCCCTTGCAGCTGCGCGGCCAAGGGACGCTCACAGCTTGTTCAGGGTTGTGACACGGTTGTGGTCTGCAGCCTGCTTGAGCCCTGGCGTGCGTTTCGCTGTGTCCTCTTCCACCGCTCTCGCTTGCAGCCACCTGCCTGGCCCGGGTGCAGCACAGCAGGCAGGGAGGCCGCAGCTCTTCGCTGAGTGTGCCGCAGTCCCGTGTACTTCTGGCCCGTTTTCTTACAGATTGCCCACTTCTGTGACCCACCAAGAGTTTACTTTTGATGCTTTTTCCTGTCCCTGCTGTTTATTTAAGACGGTGCTGCGCTCGGTCCCTCGTCTGGGAACCAGGCCCTTTCCTTCTCTGTGGATGCTCCTTGAGCCCCCTCTCACTGTCAGAGAGGAAGTGGGGGTCGTCAGTGCAGGCGTCTCTCCCCTCCCTGCCGCCAGGATGCTGGCCACAACCCCTCTCCTCCTGCCACAGAGGAGCCACCCGACCCCAGCTGTCCACAGCTGTCCTCCCGGCCGTGGGCCCCAGCCGTCGGGTCTGCCCCAGCACTGGCCCTGCTTGCCGCTGCTGCCTTCTGGAAGTGCTCTCCCCGAGGGCCTGTTTTGCCAACCCCCGTGGCTTTTCTTCTCCATCCCCATCCTGGGTTTCCCTGCTCCGTCCTCCATAGTCTTACTGAAGGCCCTGTCTTGTCTCTTCTGTGTCCCTCAGTACCTGGTGATCTCTGTCTCCATGGCTTCAGTTTCTACCCCTGAACTGACAACTTCCAAATAATGTGCAGACTGGCTTTGTCTCCTGTCTCTGGAACGCGCTGTCCAGTTACCTGCTGACCTGCCTACAAAACTGAGAACAGATCTCCACCTTCCCCTCCTCCTGGCTTCACCCCATCTCAGTGTGCACCCAGCCCTCCCTCCATCTTCCTCTCCGGCTGCCCTGTGCCAGCTCCAGCGTGCTCCCTGAGGGTCCCTGAGCCCACGCGCACTCTGCCCGCCAGGCCTCTGCACATACTTTTTCC